TTCTGAAGGCAAAAAATAAAGTTTCTAAACTACCAGTAATACAGAGAAAATAATACAGAGGAAACCCTTCAAGAGGCAGACTAGACCTTTCGTTATCATGTTTCTGTGGAAAATGGTGCTGTGTGATGGCTACTTTGAGAAGGTCGCAGAGCTTGCAGCCAAGCATTGAAGAGAAAAAGAAATATAAGATGTTATTGGGTAGTTAGTTCAGAAAATATTTTTATTAAAAAAGCTAATACTCCAAAGCAAAATAAGAACCTTGGCGCACCGTGCACTCTGAAAGACCTCACCCACCCTGGCCCTTGGAGGTTGGCGCTGGGACTGCAGCCTTCACCAAGGGCCTGAGTGTGGAGTGGGCTCGCCACCTCTGCTCTGTCTTTGACCTTCCTCTCTTCATGAAAACTGGGACACTGCCTATCTCTCAGGGTCCAGCTTTTCACGTCATTTCTACCATGAATAGGTGGTTTTCCAGATCAACCGCCAAAATAAAGCACTCATCAAATGGCCTAAAATGTTCTCAAGGCTGAAGTCTAAATTTTCAATCCCTGTTTTAATTTGAAAATGAAACTGATTGAATGAAGAAAGAAAAATGCTCAATGCCTGCTTTATGTTCTTTCAAAATTAATAATGAATTGATCAACTGCCATGACTTGAGATTTTATGTGAAAACGAGTTATTCAACTAGTGTTTGTTAGGCATCTACTATGTGCGAGGCACAAATCCGAAGTCTTTTCTAGGGGACAAAAATGGCACCTGAGAAGACAAGACACTTTGTTGAATATGGACTGATGTTCTCACCTGCATTCCAAACCCTGGGTGGAGAAAGTTTAACTGGGTTTCCTAAGACCATTTAAAAATTTTTTGTCTAGGAAATTAAAAACTAACATTTCCTTGAAGGCGTGAGCACCACTGATTTAGGAAAACATGCAGAAAAGCCTCCACAGGGAAACTAGTGTTTCTAACCAACGACAATGACTAAAAATTGATTCTATGGATCTGTAGCAATTTTAAGCCCAACCTTGGTTCCTCGTACCCAGTGCCCCAGTTCTCAAGTTAAAATCCTCGCAGTCTGTAAGTCCCGAGCCATTAGCATCCTTGGGATGCAATAGGGAGGAAGAGACCTGCAGCCCTTGCTTCTCAGCAAGTTTACAGCCAGTGTAAAGGAGCCCTCCGGGAATATGCAAATGAGCTTCCTGTGCACCGGACTGAGCTTTAAAATAACCTTTAAATTGCCTTCCTTCAACAGCAGCTGTACTACTGAGGGTTGTAACATTCTAAGGATGGAGGGCGGTACTCAGTCTCCTTCACAGATGAAGAAGACAGAAGCAGAAGTCATTTGGGCTTCTCAAGAGGCTCTTTAGATATGAGGCAAAAGGTCCTCCTTCGCCTTTCTCATTCCCTGCTTTATTCCGCATGTTCTTGGACATGAGGGCTGGCACTGCAGTGACCTTATTATACTATGAGGCAGCGTGAGGAAGGGCAAAGCACCAAGAAAAGAGGCATCTGGGAACTTGAAGATGGCACAGTGTCACCACACTGACCTGGGCCTGTCTACCTGCAATCTGTTATGGAACTGAAGCTATACGTTTCTCTTATTTAAGTGCTATTTTCAATCCATTATTTGTAGCCAACTATACTATCTCTTCTAAACAGTTCTTTGAAACAGATAAAAGAACACACTTCTCTGCATATGGAACATCACGTCGAGAATTTTTAAATTTAGAAAATTTTTAAATTTAGAATTTTTTTAAAAAATCACATATTCCCAGCCTTGAACTTTCTAAGGAAATGCCCTGATAGGTGCAAATTCACATAAGACAGCCTCTTTGTGGACAGAATTTTGGACATTCTCCTCTCCAAAATGGTCACCACTTCCATGCTGGAATGGTGAACCCTTGCCTGTTCTCTCTAAAATTGGTTCCCTTCCAGGCCACAGCTGTGACGCACGGTACATGGTGCTGTTCTGCCACCTCCAACCCTGGAGACCACGCCGTCTCCTCCCTGGTGGGGAGTGTTCCTCCCCTCCCGCAGGCTCTTTCTCCTGCCTCCGCCACCCTGGCCGCCAGCTCTGACCTCACAGTGATGCAGTGTATGGGTCCTGCCCCCTCCCCTAGAAGCTCTCCCCCTAGAACTGGAGCTCCTTAAGCAGGTATTTTGAAGTGTGGGAGCAGAGTCACAGATCACGCGGGGAGGAAGCAGTAGCCTCTCAGCATGGAGGGGGAGGGCCCTTGGGATAAGAATGTCTGCAGCTTTAGCAGAGTCAGTCACTGTCACCAAGCCAACATCTTCCTCGCCACCACCTCCTTCCTTACCATCTTCTTCACCGCTGCCTTCGTCCCGCAGTCCCCAGCACCCCAGAGACTGCCAGGCGGCAGACGCAAGGGACAAGCTTTTCGTGGTTCACTCAGAAACATTCATGAAGATCCCATGAGGGTGTGTCTGTCACCACCGCCTTTAACAGGTGCAGAGACAGGGACACAGCAGCTGGCAGGCTCACGTCGCGTGGTGACTGGTAGAGGGTGACTCCAGCCCCGGGCCCAAGGCCATCTCTCCCCCTCGCTCTCCACCTTCTCTGGAGGTTCTGCTATCCAAAATGCATGTGTCCCTCTTTGCTGACAAAGAACGCCAGCTTTTCAGGGACACTTAGCTGCTTCTTTAATTTATCCAACACCAGACAAAATTCCTGTGGGACACTTCCCATCCAAGAGAGGCTGTCATACCTGCCAGCTCCCTGCTCTTCTCCTTTCATTCCTTCTGGTTCTCTATGAGTCTAGGCATCAGCTCTGTCCTTTGGGAATCCGGGGCTCATTGTCCAATGTTCATTTGAAGAGAATCCCTGTGCTTTTGCCACTATTCACAGGGGACTACATTTTCCTCATGCCAGTTAGTGTCACTGGCTTAACTTTAAGGCATGTGTTAAACTCCTCTTTGAATTCAGTGATTTTAATAACAAGAACAGAGATGTTTCTTAGTCCCAGGGTTCAGTCCGTGACTAAGCACACATTTGTCTCTGCCCCGAGTGACAGGAAACACATTCAGGGCTGCGCTGCAGTAACTAATTAACCTCACAGCTAGTAACACTGTTAGGTCCTATTTTATACCGGGGTTGTCCTAGTTTTGTTCTCATTGTTGTGTTTTGATTAAATATTGCAATGTGCCTTAAGTATTTCAAAATAGAGATTCTACGGATACACAGATACCCTCAGTGAATGTTCTGTGGAACACAGGTTTAATGAGACATGACGGGTTGTCCTGGAAACAGTGTCCCCGGGGAAGAAGTCTGCGCTATCTGAGGACCACATCTGGCCCCCAGCAGAACACCCCATGTCAGTCAGAGGAGGAATCTTTTAAACTATTCAATGCAGTGTTCTCCACATCTCTTTGACCCTGAAACGATTTTTCCCTTCACAACCTCATCCCGCATCTTCCGTGGTGCGGCGTGTGGGGAATGCTGCCAGCTTGGAACACACGGAAACGCTGTGAGGGGTCTGAATGGAACCATGTCCAGTGACTGCAGCTTCCGCTGTGCTGAGCTCAGCTGTGCTGAGCTTGGGATCCCGCACCCTGGGCAGCCCTGGGGACAGCGATTTCCATTTATACACGAATCATGCAAGGCTACTGAGGTGAGCAGGTCACTGGAGAAGCCCCAGAGGGTTCAGAGGGCCCACTTGTCCCCAGCCACTAAGGGGAAGCCCTGGGATTCCTCAGGAGACACCCAGGGCCAGCCCAGCATGAAGAGGCCTCAGAGGGTGGGACCACCAGCAGCAGACAAGGAGCCCAGGCTGCAGTTGTTCATGGCTTTCAAGACCTAGGACCTTGTTTACTCCACATTTCTGCTGCTTTCTCTGTTCATGACCTTGGTGCTTTTCTCAGAGTTCTGTGTGTATGTGCGTGTGTGTGTGTGTGTGTGTGTGTGTGTGTGTGTGTGTGTATGTGTGTGTGTGTATGTGTGTTACTAGGGATTAAACTCAAGGCCTTTGCTGAATCCTCTGCCTTTTTTACTTTTTCATGGTAGTACAAGGTCTCACTACTAAGTTGTCCAGGCTGGGTTCAAACTTGCAGTCAACCTGCCTCAGCCTCCCAGAATGGTGAGGTTATAGGCAGGATCCATCATGCCTAGTTTAACAATAAACTCCACATTTGTAGAGAGTGGTTAATGAAGCCACACTCACATAGTCAGAGGAGGTGGTAGAGGGAGGGGGGAGTGCACCACGGTGGCACAACCAAGGCTCAGCACCTCAGGGGTTCCTCACTAGGTCCATGAGAAAGGGGTCAAGTCTGAGGCCCTGGCTCTGACCCCCAAAGAAGCCACGATCTCAGCATACTCCCATCGGATGCACAGACAAATGACATCCTACATTGTGCACAAATCAGCAGCTGCATGTGATCTTATGTCTCCAACCCTTCCCCAAACATCGCTCCTCTGGAATAAGAGGGAAGCCATACGTGATCCATAACCATGCAGGCCCAGGAGTTGGGAATAAATAACTGCCGTCCCAGACCAGCTAACTCGGCTGTTATTTGTAAGTTCCCGGCCACCTTGTTATTGCCAAGGAAATCTGCTTTACCTCCTTGCTGCTGTTCTGTCTGGCCTCTCAATCTATACTTACTGAAAAAAATAGCTATTGTCATGCTAAAATCACAATGCGGCCTGCATAATGCTGCGCTAAATAATACCTGTAAAACTATGAAAATGGCACATTGGCATTAAAAGTTATTTTCTTGTGGACTTTCATAAGATTCAATGCTTTTGTTCTCAAGAGCTCTGTTCTGGTGTTTTAACTTCACACACACACACACACACACACACACACACACACACACACACACACACACAGTTAAAAACATGAGACGGAATTCCTGCAGAATGCCATCATCTCTCTCACAAAAGAGTACTTTGATTTTGCAAACAGGGAGCTAGCAGCCACTGGGGCACACAGATTAATATTGATCAGCAGTTGCGGCTGCAGCCCTTGCGGTCGTATTCAGCAGAGATTTACCTCTTTCCTGGTGAACTTTGGCGAGTGGTCATTTTTGTCGTCAATCACTATCGTGGCCGTGGCCGTGCCTGTTAACCCAACGTCCATTCCAGCCATATCTTGAGCCTCGATGATCAACTCGTACTTGGGGTTTTCCAGAGTCTGCAAAGCAAAAACACAGCCGAGAAGACGGTATTTAGATTACTGCTTGGGAAGGTGGCCAGTGCCACCCCTCCCCGCAGGGCAAGGATCCGCAATCAGTCACAGCCTTTTCACCTACTGGGTAGAAAGCTGCCTTGGAATCTCTCCAATACTACAGTCACTATTCACAGCTTGGAGATGGTCATGGGACTTGGATCTACTCACTATCTTTGTTTAAGAGGACGTTTGATATAGTCCAGAACATTCCGTTCTGGGTTTGATGTTCACAACCATATCAGTCATTTCACAGTGAATTCCTGAAGCTGATCTGGACATGAAGCTAACTTTGATGATAAAATCAGAACAAAGAAGGCAGCTTTGGGCGCTCACGTTTACTGAAATTTCTGATGAACTTGGCTTTGGTTTCCTATACTTTATAGAGATGACTGTGCTTAATCTTTCCAACAAGCATGTCAAACTGCAATAATGGTTCCCATTTTACAGGTGGGGAAAACCAAGTGAGGTTTAGGGTTACTTTTACTGGCATTGCGTTTTTAGTCTCCCAGAATGTTAAATTTGGAAGATGCATTTTCATCGAACTATAATCTGATAAATGTAACATCAGAATATTGAACTGTTTGTCTCTTTTCCTATACATGTGACTTTCACTTGGACTATTTGACAGATGTTGGGTGACCATGAAACATCCCAAGCAGCTAAGCAGACAGCAGCGATGTGGAGATGAAGAGGCCAGTGGCTAGCAGCCAACAGTCTGCATTAAGCTGCCTTAGTGGACATTCCACACACGAGTCTTCTGCCGGGGCAGGGGCACCCTCATTTCCTTTGGAACCCCGATTACTCTGCCCATGTGGTTTGGGTGTGCTGTCTTTGCCTGCTTTCTGCCTGGCAGACTCCTAGAATGAGCCCTATCAGAGAGGTCAAGGGCACAGCCAACTCAGGGGCATGACGGCTAGTGCAGCCCCAGGCCCTGTGCTCAGCCGTGGGGAAGAGGAGCTCCATATCCCAGTGTCTGTGGTGCGAACCTAGACTTGCTCGACCGCAGAGCCAGATGGGCCATCGTGTCCCACAGCAGGTGTGGGCCAGGAGCTGGCCTGAGAACGAAGTCAGTTTGGTAAGAAAATTGCACATGCACCTTGGAGAGCAAGGAACGGTTCTCAGAACTGTGTGTTGGAGCGACTTCATCACACCATGCCTGGGGGCAGCGCTGCCAAGGACTTCCCAGCTAATGAAGGCATTTGTTTTCCTTATTTACTTAAACCAATTTGGATTGGTTTCTTAATCACTCACACAGAGAGTCTGAGTTGAACTGTGTTCAATAAGAAAAATAAAAGGTGTTTACAATGGCATAAACAGCCCCAACCGGAATGACAGCTCCAAAACCCCCGGGTTATACCAACCAATAATTAAGACATATCCTGAGGAGCAAAGCTCAGAAAAGCAAAGGGGATCTCTGAGGAGCTCCCACAGCAAAAGGACTAGCTTGAGGTTAGCTCTCCCCAACATTTTCAATCTCTTTGAAAGGTGGCTAGCTGTTTGCTCCCGTGGCCTTTACGGGGTTATGTCTGTAACTAAAAGCATCTGAAGTAATAATTTAAGGAGTAATGATTTGATCAGTTGGGTAGAAAAGTGCATGACCATGAAGGGGACGCCCATGTGTTCCTTATGCCTCTCTGCATGCAACATTTTGGTTTATGCCAGCTCCCCCAGAATGGAAGCGCACAAAGTTCTCTAATTGCTAAGGGTGAACAGAATTCTGACAGCTGTTCTGTCGGGGCACAACCGTTTCTCAGTGGAGTTCAGGTAGGGCTGACTTCAGCCCTGATCTAGGGATGGTCATGTGGTTCATCTCCAGGGCCATCTGCTGGATACATATGAGGCCACCCAAAGACTGAAGTTCAATTCTGGGCCCCTTTTTAAAGAATGCTTAGGGAAAAGCAGCTCTCTTTCTGTGGAAATTGATGGTGGCAGTGCACCCATCTGGAGCTGGTCATGGCCATTTGGCCCACACCGAGAAAGTCAACGAAGGTAACACAGACTGAAAGGCGGAGGTAGAGTCCTTTTAACACGATTTGAGCCTGTGTAGCAGTCATCCTTGAAGCCAGTTGCCTTTCAGATTTCGTGGATTCTAGAAGCCAATACATTTCTCCTTTCTTCAAGACACTTGATTTAGATGTTCTGTGAGTAGCAACTAGGCAGTTTTGACTAATATTGCAACTAATGGTATGATCAATTATCTGGTTATTAACAAGAAGGCATAAGGGCCGTCATATCATAGCACAGTATTGCAATAGACTCTTCGTGACAGCATTCTAGTCATTTCATGAATACATTTTCCCCTGTACAGAAATAATTCTTTTTTGCACAGAGAATTTTACTATTTTTTTATTATTTCATTGGTTTATGTGTCCGCTTAACTGGCACTTAGTGAACAGCCTGTCTCTGTGCTGTGCTGGGTGCTAGAGACAGTGATGGGAGAAAGTGGATCTCTTCGTAAGGGGGTCAAAGGTCGAGCTTGAGGACAGTCCCATCCCACACACAGGTAACTTCAGCACAATTCCATCTCAGTTAAGCAGAGGCATGTGTGCAATCCTGACAGCACAGAGCATGGACACATCAGCAGGGCTCTTCCATGGTCTGACAAGGTTTGTAAATAATTTTAAAGAACGAACCCATCAATCCCCATCTCCTGAAGTAAATAAAACTTTACGGTTACAATGGGAACTAGATTGATTAATCTGGTGAGGAATGAATTAGACTATGAAGCAGATAAATCGTAGGGCTTGGAATGAGCTATTCCAAAAGTCTCAGTTTTCTGGCTCACATTAAAAATGTTTTTATTACTGAAGTATTTTCCAAAGATGTAAGGAAATAAAAATGATGCAGTCAGTTCTAACATGGAATGCTGGGCTCCTTCTCCATCCTCAGCTGCCTCTAGTCCTAAGACGTTGCCAGTATTGTGTGGTCCCGTGTGCCTCCTGCCCTCTTCCTACACATCTCACACAGCACACACATACCTACAATGCATGTTTACACACACATGTGTGAACAGAACAATATCCCCCACTGTACATTTTGTTTTGCCGTCTCACGTTTATCTCGGTGATAATCTGTCTACCCAGGTTCTCAGCTGGGCAATGGCTCCTTGTGTGAATCACATCACTCACTCAGTCAACCTCTATCACTGGGGTTGTGTCCAAGTTGAACTATTAAAGGCAATATGAAGATCAAAAGCTGCTGGTATTTTGGGGTTTTTCTATAATAAACATGAGTGAGAACAATAATTCAAAGTAAATAACCCATAGTAAAAATACCCTCCTGTGAAATGCAAAAGACCCCATCCTTATTTAAAAACGAGAGGTGATGCCACATGAATTTCCGTGCTTTCCCTGTTCCTCCTGTCTGATCCATGTCCCCCTTTGGCTGAACCTTTTCTGAGAAGTCCTCCCTTAGCTCCCACGATCACTGTTCCTTAAAGTACACATACTCAGTGCTGTCCATCTCATTCACAGGCCATTCTGCCTTTGTTACCCTGCCAGACCAGACCCTGTCTACCCGGGCAGCTAGCCATGGGTGACCCTTCTCTGCAAATCCAGAGAAATGGGCTCCAGTTGCCATGGGTCACATGGGTCATGTGTGTCTCCCTTGGTGTCTTAGTTACTTTTTTGTTGCTGAGACAAAATATCCGATACTCAAAGTTAAAGGAGGAAAGGTTTATTGGGCTTACAGTTCAGAGAGATTTCAGTCCATAATCTGTTGGCTTCAAGGCAGGGTGGCATGGCAGAGGGGCATGACAAAGGATAAATGGTCCATGGCAAAGCAGGGCAGGCAGAAGGCAGCAAGCAGCAAGCAGGGACAACAGCAGCCCTCTTTCTGTCTCTTGTATTTTATCCAGCACTGCACTGTGAGTCAGTCCCAGCATCACATCCTTGATCCCACATCACACACCCTAGATCCTGCCACTTCTGAAAAGCACCTCCTGTGACTGCGTGAGGCTTTGTGTCTAGAGATGAGTCATAATGCTCAGCAAGACCTGGCAGGCTCACACCACTCCCAGTCCGTGCTGGGACAGGCCAATTCTGGGGATATGGAATGTGGGGCCAAGAGGCACAGAGAGAGTGCAGGGCGAGTCCTCTTGCTTTCCCCACACAACTCCAGGGTCCAAGAGGGGGTTTATGCCATCTTGAATATTTCAGTAGGAAGATCCCTGCCCTCATGTTTCTCTGCCTAGACAAGAGGCACCTGCTTCTAGGGGACAAGACCTTTGCCTGTCTAGCTGCTGTCACTAGACGAGTGGACTGAAGGGCAGAGGACAGCCCATGGCCCTCCCACGGTCAAACTGTCCTCTCCACGGGCTTCTCCTGACTGTCTGTGTGGTTCAAGGCTCAGAGAAGAGGTGGGTGCAATCACCCCCAACTCTGTCTGGTCCAAGGCTCAGAGGAGAGCTAGGCCTCCAACTCCAGAAAGCTTTCAGAAAGATGCAAGCCCTGGTCTCAGGGTTTTGCTGCCCCCAGCCAGCTTCAGCTCTTTCTTGGTTCTATAACATATCCCAGGATTTACCCATGAAGTTCTTTGAGGTGCAGAAGCAGCCAGAATCAGTTTTGGTTGCCAGCCACCAAGTGCACCTGTGGTGAAGGCAATGCCATGTGTTCACCCAGTCCTACTTCCCTGGACTCAGGGAGCAGGAAGCCAGCCCAGTCTCCCAGCTCCGTGCAGTGAGATGAGCTGTGGGTCTGATGTGACCAGGTACATGCAGTGCCCCAAACCTCCTCAACTCCTGTTTTCCTTTTCTCTGGAAGGAAGAGCCTGGATCTCTGATCAGCTGTGTGGAGTGCAGCCCCCTTCTAACCCATTCTATGCAGTGCTCTGAGAGCTGGACCCAAGCCACTTTTCAGATTCAAGAGCTGTTACAGTGCTTAGCTCACCTCCACTAAGGAAGAGCCAGGTTTCCTGTTTTATTCTGAACGCTGTTTACTAGTTCCCTAGGTACATGATAAAACTTT